GCGCGGAGGAGGCCCGGCAGGCAGTGCTGCGCAGCCTGAGCCGCGTGCGGGAGCTCGAGGCGCTAGCCCAGCAGGTGCCCGGCCTGCAGCGCTGGGTGCGGCGCCTGGAGGCAGAGCTGCAGCGCCACAGGTGAGCGGGGGCATGGTCCCCGGGCGAACGGCTCGGGTTCCCCATGTCAGCTCCTCTTCTTCCAACGCTCAGGTGTGCATGCCTGCTTCCCGCCCAACTCGTCCTCGCCCTCGTGTTCCCCTGTTCGTTCCTGGGTTCCTTGTTTACGCATTCTGTCATTCGTTAGTCGGCTCTTTCATTTCTTACGTCATCCTTCGACTCCGACCCCACTGCTTGCTCCCCACCATGCATGCATCTATCCACCATCCATCCATTTGTCCATCCATCCATCCGTCCATCCATTCATCCATCCGTCCATCCACCTGTTCACCCGCAAAGTCTGTCCAGTTGCTAATTCATGAAGTGCCATTGAAAATATTAATTTTCGTTTGTTCTTTGATTTGATCAACAAAATAATAATCACGATAATAACCAAAACCAAAAACCAAACCCAGTGCCTTCGAGTCGCTTCCAGCTCATAGTGGGCCTACAGGACAGAGTAGAACTGCCCCATAGGGTTTCCAAGGAGCAGCTTGTGGATTCCAGCTGCTGAACGTTTTGATTAGAAGCTGATCTCACAACCACTGCGCCACCAGGGCTCCCAGTCGTGATAGTAGCTAAGAGTTATCGAGCACTTAGATGTGGCAGGCTCTGAGCTAAGCACTTATTTACATGGTTTAACTCATTTGATCCTCACAACAACCCTGTGAGGTAGGTACTGCTATGTTCCCATTCTACAGATGAGGAAACAGGTTGAGAATGATCTCTTGTGCTAGATGGTAGGCTCCACCAAGGCAGGAACCTGGGCTTGGGACCAAGGTTCAAATCCTGGCAGGACCTCTGATAGATGTGTGACCTTGGGCAAATCACTGCCCCTCTCTGAGCCTGTCTCCTCTTCTGCGGAACATAAATTGGAATCCCTGCCTGCCGGAAGTGGTGAGGTCCTGCCTGGCACACAGTAGATGCTTAGTAAACAGGAGCTGCCTCTCCCTTTTGCATCATAATGCCTGCCTGCCTGACTTTCATACTTACTGAGCACCTGCTCTGTGTCTGTGCTGCATCAGGCACCAAGGATACGACTGAGAACAAGACAGACAAAAATCCCTGCCCTTGAGCAGCCACTGAGCTGAGTGGGGCAGGCAGCAGACATAAATGAGCTCATCTGAATAAGTGTATCCTGAATGAATGCTGGGAAGGACAGGAACAGGGCCTCTAGGAGATACCAGCTGACAGCTGAGGATGGGATGTTTCCTGGCAAGATGGGCCCCCCCGGGTAGGAAGAGGGAAGAGTGTTCTAGACAGTGGGAACAGTATGGGAATAGAGGCAGAGGGACCTTGGCACGTTCCAGACGCTGAAAGGAGGACAGCGGCTGGAGGGATAAAGCTGCAGGAGCAGGCAAAGGCCAGGCCATTCAGGGCCCTGAAGGTTGCAGCAAGGACTTCAGTCTCAAGAGCAGTGGAAAGCCATAGAAACGTTTTAAGCGAAGGGTGACAAGATCAGATTTACATTTCAAGGAAAGAAAAAAAAAATTACCCTGACTACAGTTGTGAAGAAGAGATGTGGGGAGAGAGTGGGGAGCCAGCAAGGGGCTGATGTCTTTCTTCCAGCATGAGCGGAAGGTGGTCTGGCCCTGGCTGGGGGCAGGGCAGCTAGAGGGGTGGCTTTGACCCTCAGTCCTCAGAAGAGGGGCTGTGTCCTTGACTTCTGAGGCCCTCACAGCTGGGAGATGAGAAGGCTGGAGGGAGGCCCCCTGAGGAGGCAGACTCTGGGCCAGCCCTGCAGCTCCAAATGTTTGGAGAGTCATTTCCTGTTTGCGTAGCTGATCATCTAAAGAGTAGGGCTGGCTGACTTGGAGACCATGTCCAGCCTTGGAACTTTCTCCAAGAGGAGAAATAAAGGGTCTGCTCTTTTATCCCCTAAAGTAACAGCCAGTCCTTTATAGCATGATTGTAAGAGCAACTATAAACATTGGTTTAGCCCTTTAGAGTAGGAAAAGTGGCTTTGTATCCATTGTATCACTTAATTCTCCCAAGGACTGTGCTGGGTAGAGATGACATCCCCATTTTACAGATTGTCAAAAGTGAGGCTCTGAGAAGAAACATACCCAAGGCCAAACAGCCAGAAAGTGGAAAAGGAAGGTCTGCCTGACCCCACAGCCTGTGTTCTTTCTTTCCACTCTACCTTTTTTGTTGCTTGTCGTTGCACAAGGGCTACGGACCTCCAGGCCTCGAGTCTGCTGTTCAGCATAAGAAGAAGGAAGGGCAGTGAGGGGAGGGGGATTTTCTCCTAGTGAGGCTTTGCCCCTTCCCCACCAGAACTTGCACCTACATCTCATTGGCTAGAACTGTGTCGCGTGACTAATGATACCTGCAAGAGAATCTGGGCATGTCAATGCCCCAAACCAAATCTCTTTGTGAAGAAGAAGGGAGAAGAGATATTGCAAAGGCAATCAGCAGGGTCTGCCCAGAGGTGGTGCTCAGTGAATGAGGAGACTGAGGATCAGAGGGGAGTGGCACTGTAACTAAGCGGTGGCTCTGTCAATTGTTTCCCCATCCCTATAAAAACGTGCCTACTCAACCTTGCCCGGCCTCAGGAGGCAGACCTCTGCTGCCCATTTGATATATATATGGTTAGGGTTTGTGGGTTTAAGGACTGACTTCCCCCAAAGTTCCCCCTCTTTGAAGAAAGGAAAGGGGAGAGGACAGAACAGCCACGAGCTTTTACTGGGTATTAACTATGTCCCAGGCACTTCATCCATGTTAGCTCATAGTAGCCTCTAAACCATCCTAAGAGAAAAGTGCTATTTTCTGCATTTCAAAGCTGAGAAAACCAAGGCCCGAGAGGAAGCATCTTGCTGGTACGGCACGCAAGTACGGGACCAAGTCAAGCTTTAAACCCCAGCCCGAATAGCCCCAAAGCCATATGCCCAGACGGGGTTTGGTAACGTGATCAAGTCCTCCTGGGCTCACCCACCCCCAGAAATGTCTGCAGGACATTTTACAGGCTGGAGAGGGCTGTGATGTCGCCCCCGCTTTTCCATTTTAAGGGCCAGGAGCTCTGCTGCCCCCAAGGGTGGTGCTGAGCCATCCCCCTCTCCTGCAGCTGGGCCAGTTGGGCTTGCAGTTTGGAGGAATTACTGGGAGGAAGAGGCCCCACACCCCAAAGACCATAGCCACACCATGCCCCTTAAGTGACTTCATTCTGGAATGCTTCCAGATGCTCTGCGGATGTGCCTTTGGGTAAAAAAGAGTGCACCGATGGATTGTCTCCTGGGAATGATAGCTTTGAAGCCCTTTGGTTAGAATGAATGACCTGACCCACACTTTTCTAGCATCTTTCCGTTCCCAAAGCACTTTCACAGAAACCTACTCACTCTGACCTTCTACTAACTCGGCAAGGTTGGTATTATGTCACCATTTTTCAAATGAGGAAATGGAGCCTTGGAGAGGGGAGTGATTTGACCAAAGTCACACAGCCAAAATCTGACTGAGCTAAGACTCAGCTACATTTCCTAACTCTGAATCAGATGTCCTTTCCCCTTCTCTGTCACCTCCCTAAAGTGATTTTTCTATTATTATATTTTTCATTTATAGGACTTCTGTTTAGTTCTTTTTCGTCCTAGGTTCAATCCAATATTTTATCTCTTTAAACAGTTTAAATATATTTATTTTAGAGGCTCTTTTGAATTGCTTTGAAATCTGAGCTTCCTTCGGCTTGTTACATTTGCTGTGTCTCATGATGATGAGTTCCTGGTATGCTTTGTAATTTTTGTCTATGAGCTCATCTTTGGCAGAAGGCATGATCCTTAAGAGTGCCACATATAACCAGGGCTGTAGATTCCCTTGGGAGCCCTCGTGGCACAGTGGTTAAGAGCTCAGCTGCTAACCAAAAGATCAGCAGTTCAAATCTACCAGCCGCTCCTTGGAAACCCTATAGAGCAGTTCTATTATGTCCTATAGGGTCGTCGTGAGTCGGAATTGACTCGACGGCAACAGATTTTTGTCGGAGTTTCTTGCAGAGTAGTTTCCCATCTGGCTTCACCAGGGTCTGAATCTAGACTGGTTTTTAAATTAGTTTCTTAGCTTGGAGTCTCCTAACTATGCAGGTAGTGAGAATTTGAGCTCCACACCTGGCATAGCATCCCAAGGCCAATGGGTGGAGTTTTCTCATCTCTGTTCATGGATGAGACACCCCCTTGATGGCTCCTGACTTCGTGTGGGGAGCCTTCTTCTATTAACTCACCATGCAAGGCCTTCTGTGTCTGTCTCCTCTCAGGCGTTAAGTCCCAGTCCCGGCCCTTCCATGAGTCTTTCAGCCCCATCTCTTGTTCCCCACTACAAGCTGGAGGTCTCCCCTTCTTGTTTTTGACCTTGGCCCTATGTTCTTTCAAATGGTTATATTTTATCCAGCATTCCTCTCTGGTTGTAGATGGAGGCGGAACTTCCCATAACACCTCAATCCACCATCTTGACGAGCAACCTAGGAGAATATACAGTAATTATTTAAGAGAAAGAAGGTTCTTGAGCAATTGGAGACGTTCATTTATCCATTCAACAGCACTTTCTAAGTTTTCCACGGACCAGGCCCTGTGCAGATACTCTGGGGACATAGAAATGGCATAGACGTGTCCACTGCCTTCCAAGGGTCCCTTGGGCCCAAGGGGAGCCGGTCATGCACACGCATGTTAGAACCCAAATGTGCTATGTGCTGTGGGCCCAAGGGGAGCAGGTCCTGCACACGCACGTTAGAACCCAAATGTGCTATGTGCTGTGGGCCCGGGGGGAGCAGGTCATGCACACGCACATTAGAACCCAAATGTGCTATGTGCTGTGGGCCCGGGGGGAGCAGGTCATGCACACGCACGTTAGAACCCAAATGTGCTATGTGCTGTGGGCCCGGGGGGAGCAGGTCATGCACACGCACGTTAGAACCCAAATGTGCTATGTGTTGTGGGCCCGGGGGGAGCAGGTCGTGCACACACATGTTAGAACCCCAATGTGCTGTGTGCTGTGGGCCACAA